GAATCTGTTGATCGTGAGGCTCTGTGGCAGTGTTTGTCACTGAAAGGAGTATCAAAGACGTACATTATCCTTATAAAGGCTCTCTACTCGAACACAACTGGTCGAGTGAGAGCTTATGGCGAACTTTCATCAGAATTGATTACCTCAAGTGGTGTTCGTCAGGGCTGCCCACTCTCTCTATTCTTGTTTAACTTCGTCATTGACGTGCTTTTAGAGATAACACTTTCCTCATCTAAATTTCCACGGGTTGAACGTTTACCGGGAGATTCACTTGTTGACTTAGAATATACCAATGGCAGTTCTATTTGGTGAAGACACTGACAAAATTCAGTCTTCTGAACACCAAATAAGCAACAATGCAAGCATGTTCGTGATGCAAAATATTGCTTCAGGATTGGGTTGCATCGACACCCGAACTAATGATAGGGAGTAAAGTAGTTGAGTGTGTCGATCGCTTCACTTATCTCGGGAGTCTCATCAGCCCTTGTGGTCTGGTGTGTGACGAAATCTCAGCACGGATACAGAAGGCTCGACTAGCTTTTACCAACTTGCGTCATTTATGGCATAGGCGAGATATCCGTCTACCAACCAAAGGACGGGTTTACTGCGCAGCAGTTCGTTCCTTCCTACTTTATGGCAGTGGAACATGGCCAGTAAGGGTAGAGGATATTCGTAGGTTACTAGTGTCCGATCATAGGTGTCTTTGAAACATTGCTCGTATATCCTGTGACCACCGAGTAAGTGACTCAGTTGTTAGGAAACGGGTACTACGTAAGGATGGCGAAACAATTGATGAACTAGTGTCAGTCAGTCAGTCAGCTACAACGTAGAACCAGGCACATATGTGCATCGGTCCAGGTTGCCATACCTCATTAGCACAACAAGATGAACACCGGATTCATAGGAGTGGTTAGGTCAAAGGTTGCAATAAGGATATGGTATAGGAAGGAAGAATTAGTTAGTAGAAAGAAAGATATAAAGTCATTTTAATCTCTTAGTTTAAGAGAAGACAGGGAGTGTATACACCTACGCCATTGTGATCGATTCTGAGCCATGTCACCAAGAGTCTCCAACCATTGGTTACGATAGTCACGCGGACCCCAACCAAGTAGTCTGCATCTACCAACATGGCTCAGACTAGAAGTTAGTGACTTCAAGCACTGATGCCACGTTTTGGTTTGGCCGCCCCTAACTTTCTTCCAACCATCCCGAACACCGGTTAGCATTGCACGTCGTGGTAATCGGTGTTCAGGCATACGTAATACGTGGCCCAACCATCTCAGTCGATGAAGATTAACAACCTCATCAACTGATTTACCATCATTCCCTAATACCCTACGTCTAACCTCACTATTACTTACCCGGTGATCCCAGCAGATGCCAGCAATATTTCTGAGGCATCTGTGGTCAAATACTTGTAGCTTACGGGTGTCTTCTACTCTTAAAGGCCATGTTTCGCTGCCGTAAAGTAAGACAGAACGGACTGCCGCGCAGTATACTCGTCCTTTTATTGATAGACGGATATCTCGCCTCCGCCAAAGGTGACGTAAGTTGGCAAAAGCCAAACGAGCTTTTCGAATCCGTGCTGAGATTTCGTCAGACACCAACCCATTAGGGCTGATCAGACTTCCAAGATAAGTGAAGTTGTCGACGCGTTCGACTACTTCACTCCCTATCCTTAGTTCAGGTGTTGACGCAGACCAGTCCTGAAGCAACAACTTGCATTTAGAGGGAGAGAAGCGCATCCCAAACATTCTGGCATTGTTGCTTAGTGCTACCAGAAGACTCTGCATTTTGTCAGCGTCTTCACCAAACAGGACTATATCATCTGCGTATTCTAAGTCGATAAGTGGACCTCCTGGAAGGAGATCAATACCCGAGAATTCAGTCGACGAGAGTGTTATTTCCATCAATAGGTCTATGATGAAGTTAAACAAAAATGGAGAAAGTGGACAGCCTTGACGGACACCACTTGAAGTTGCAAAAGTAGATGACAGTTCGCCATAAGCTCTGACTCGACTAGTAGTGTTCGAGTAAAGAGCCTTCACAAGGTTTATGTACTTCTGAGGTACGCCTTTCAATGACAGACACTGCCACAGAGTCTCGCGGTCTACAGAGTCAAACGCTGCTTTTAAGTCAAGAAAGACCACCATCGTCGGACGCCGATAGGTATGCCTGTGTTCTAGAACCTGACGAATGGTGAATATGTGGTCGATGCAGCCACGACCAGGTCTAAAGCCAGCTTGGTTCTCTCGAGTTTGTAGTTCACGAGTCTTAGTTAGACGTCTGATAATTATCGAGGCCAGTATTTTAGATACTATGTTTGTTAAACTAATCCCTCTGTGGTTATCACAGGATGATTTTGACCCTTTCTTATATATTGGGACGATAAGTGATTGCGACCAGTCAGATGGGATAAAGTCTAATTCCCAGATCTTAGCTAAAATGTTAGTCAACCTAATCGCTAAAATTGGACCACCATCCTTAAAGACCTCTGGAGCCAATCCATCTGGACCAGCTGCCCTTCCTCGTTTCAGATTAACTATAGCCTTTTGAACTTCAGCAAGAGTTGGGGGACCTACTTCAATGTTCCATTCACATTGTCTGGAAATGGAGGGTAGTTGTAGAGTAGCTGAAGGCCAGCTGAACTGTTCTCTAAAATGTTCCGCCCATCGTTCTAAACGTCTGGACTGGGAGCAGATGAGAGTATCATCTTTTTCCGAAATAATCTCACTTACACTTGACTTATTAATTCCAGTTTCTTTTATTAGTCTGTAAAGCTGTCTTGTGTTCCCTATAGTCGCCGCCTTTTCCATCTCTTTTGCTTTCGTTACCCACCACTGCTCACGGTCGTTCCTTAGACTTTTCCTTAACCTAGATCTGATTTGTTTTCGCTCTTCATCATGTTCAGAACCTGATGGGACGAGTTTGCGAGAATCCATCAGTGTGATAGACTTTGAAGAAATCCACTGGTTCCTTGCAACTCTGTGGTTTAAGTCACTAATAGATGTCACTGCTGTTTCCACAGCTGATTGTATGCCCTTCCAAGCAACATCTGGGTCAGCCTCGTCTTCACAACTACCTAAGTGTGACCTCAGTTGTTCCTGGAACCTACTTTTGGTTTTCTCGTTACTCAACTCAGTTCTAACGGGTCTTTTTAATGTTGCTTTTTTGCGTCCAGTGAGGCGCAAGCAGATGCGTGCCCGTATTAGGGCATGGTCGGAGTCCAAGCAGGTACCCCAGAATGAGCGACAATCTTTTACCGACCCTCTCCAACGATGACTGATGGCAATATGGTCTATTTGAGTCCATCGTTGGTTTGGTGTAGGGGGTCGCCATGTTAGACGATGTCTCTCCTTATGCTTAAAATTTGTGTTTGCTAAAAATAAACGATTGTCTGAGCACAGTTGCAGCAGACGATCACCATTATCTGTTCGCTGTGTCGGAATACTAAAATATCCACCTAAATGCCTTTCTGTTTGGTTTAAGCTACCTATCTGAGCATTAAAATCACCTGCTACGAGTACTATGTCTGAGCGTTTAGCTTTCTGAAGAAGTTCGGACAGCTTTCTGTAAAATTCATCTTTCACTTCATCTGAGCTGCAGTCAGTGGGAGCGTAGACAGAAACGACAAAAAGGCAACGACGTGTGTCCCTATCCTTCCGAGTTCTTACGTAGCCGTTCAGCCGAACAGCACATAGACGACTGTTGACGGGGATCCACTCTAGCAGTGCTTGTTCGGCCCTCATGCTTAGTGCTATGCCTACACCTGCCAGTCCACGAGAACTGGCCATCGGGTCACCAGATACACGGAGGGTGTATCTCGTTGGCTCTCCGTTTTGCCGAGGTGAGGTCAAGTGAATGACCACACTGGGATCCTGTATGCGTGTTTCAGAGACACAGCATACATCAATGGAAAGAGACTCTAGGGTTTCAGCCAAGGAAGCCTGCTGACCGATTTGACATAGAGTGCGTACGTTGAAAGCTCCAATGTGTAGTTTGGAGCGAGGTTTCAGTAGACCTGGGACAGAGTTTTGAGCACTAGAATCGTTGGCTATGGTGACACTTGAGGAGGAAGCCGAAGGAGGAAGTTTAGGGTTGAAAGTCGATGTAGGAGGAATAATAGGAATTGAAGAGGAAGGTTGATTATGAATACAGTGGTCTTGGGTGCTGTTAGAGGTATGAGGGCGGTTATCACTTCCCGGTTGCCCACACCGTGGAAGGGTTCTTCTGGAGGTACCTGAAAAGGAAATTGGATTAGAGGTGGTCTCAGTGACCTGAGAGCGTGACCGCAGTGCCCAAGGGACAACTGCTTGAGGCCGGTCGCGCACGGCCTTTTTGTGGGAGGTTTTCGACGTGTTAGCTCCGTTCTCCAAAGGGCCTTACCGCCGGAGACGGAAATCCGTGAGGTAAGGTGAGGTGTGCATTTTTAGGGTCGACCTTTTCTAACCCCACCCCTCCTTGTGGGAAGGCAGCATCGCTGTCATGCTGGTTGTCTGAAGGAAACACCTTACTGCTGTCACACCTCTGTACAGTCAGCAGTACGACTTCGCCTTCGGACCTTGGGTTTGTTGCTTTTAGTCTTACCGCTCTTCAACCGACCTGTCTGACATGGTAGGACCTTGAGGAACGGTTGTTCCAGCCAGTATAGCTCGGTTGGGTCATCACGATAGGCAAGCCCGACCACCACGTCAAGGTAGCAACAACGGTCGGGGATGAACTAGTGAAACTTCATCAGTTGAGATGGCTGGGACATGTGTTACGTATGCCCAACGACCGACTGCCCCGACGTGTGATGTTTCATGGTGTAGGAGTAAGTTGGAAGACTACAGGCGAACAGACCAAAACATGGCACAAATCCATGAAATCACTGACAAGTGGACTGAGCCATGTTGATAGGTGTAGACTACCTGGTTGGGATCGACGAGACGATAGCAACCGATGGTTAGAGATCTTGAATGACATGGCTCAAAATCGTTTGCAGTGATGTGCGCAGGTGTATCCACTCTTTGTGTTCTCCTAAATTCTAATCTTCTGAATTCTTCATATCCCTTTTTTCTCTTGTAAAATTTATTTCACTGTATTGTACTCCTTGAATAACATCTTCAAACCCTAATTTTTCCGATTACTGTTTATACTTTTACTACCTCTACCACTACGGGATTGGAATTGATAATTGTATCTTTGTGTTAATGTGATATGGCAACTCGAACTGATGTACGTACGTACGAAGTTCCACGTTGTTACTGATTGACTGACTGAGAGGTACTTGAAAAGGAAATTTGGTTCGAGTTAGTTTTTGTGATCTGAGAGCATAAGCACACTACCCAAAGGACAACTGCTTGAGGTCGGTCACAAGACTTTTTTTGTGGGTAATTTTTGTGTTAACTCCGTACTTATTGAGACGTTACTGACGGATTCGGATATCCGTGGGATAAGGCGATGTGTGCATTTTTAGTGTCGATCTTTTCTAACCCCACCCTTCGTTTATGGGAAGGCAGCATCGCTGTCATGCTGGTTGTCTAAGGGAAACACTTTACTGCCGTCACAATTCTGTGCATTCAGCAGTACGACTTTAGCCCAGAACCTTGAGTTTACTGCTTTTAGTCTTACCGTTCTTCAACCGACCTATCTGACATGGTAGGACCTTGAGGAACGATCGTTCCAGCCAGTATAGCCCGATTGGTCTATCATGATAGGCAAGCTCGGCTACCACGTCAAGGTAGCAGCAACGGCGGGTTAAAGTGATGTGCACTTCAGAGAAACGCCGAAATGCCCTGTTAACTAAACGTTAATTAGGTTGGTTGATGAAGTAGCTTGTTAACTAAATGCAATACTTATTATTACTAGTTAGAACATAAATAATAAATAATCCGTTCAGTCAATTGGGTATATTTTAATAAGCATCCGTCAAGCAATTATATAAATTACCTCATCAACCAACCTAATCAATGTTTAGTTAACAAGAGCATTCGGTGTTTTTCTTTAGTACACATCGCTTTATGTTATTACTCAGGTACTTAGTTATTACTTCACAAGTGCAGACTGACTTCGTTATCCTAGGATGCTCAATCCTACAAACAAGCCATACATGATTTCTTATAGGTAACAAATTCTGGACGTAATTTATTTCAAATCAATATTTTTTTCCGGAAAGCAATTTAATCTTAATACCGTTCTTGTTTCTATTCGTCTTATGACATCATCCTTGTCTTAATCTCATGTTTTTCAGGTAACTTCGTATAATTTATCTTGTGGCAAACGAATTCGAGGAGTGTTAGTTGTCCTTTCGTATATGGTGTTCAGCAATAAAAATGAAAACTCTAGGAAAAACTTGTCGTGTGCATATCTTATTGGTTGGTGTGTCGAATTGGTAAATATTTTAGTTTCCTCAATCGACTTTTTTGAAGTTAATTGCCCTTATATCCTGATATTAGTCCAAAACATCCGTGAAAATCACGGTCATATTGTTAATCCACGTACCAATAGAGTTATGTATTATGTACGTTTCCCCACAAGATTGAACTCAATGCTTTTAAATTCATTGGTGAGATTATTGATTTTTGGACTAGTAAGGTATATTCCAGTGACTGAGGCTCTCAACCACCGTAATGTTATCCTAGTATTATCAGCCTTTTAACTCGGATTTCGTTCTCAAGTTGGAGGTTGATTCTTTTCAGGTGATCCATTTAAATTAGAATTTATTTCTATTCATATCACATATACCTTCTGGTACAGCATGCCACTAAAAAAGAGCTACACGAACTGGATTAAGAAGTTTTGACTTCTGGGGAAACGAACATGGTATTTGGCAGCCTCAGTAGCACTTATTTCTTCATAGGATAAGTTGTCGTGTCGCAGATTGATTATTTACTTAATGACAACTATCGAAATCAGACTATGGGTCATAAGTTAATAATGTAGATGATAGATGTCCGAAAGCCCTATATGTAGCTATTAAAATGGAAACGTATGCATACTAACAACCATTCTCAGAAGTTGACAAGACGCTGGTCAGTGTACCCCATTTCTAAGCAGTAGTATGTTTTACGTGAGTCTATGATCGCGTTAAAACTGACTGTTTTCTATCCAATGACTTAAAGTCTCTTGTTTTGTCTGTGCCCTAGTTACACGCAGGATTCCTTGTTTTGGATGATATAATTGACAATTCTACACTTAGACGGGGCCAACCGTGTTGGCATTGTACTCAGATAGATTTAAACCGTGGGTTAATTGGAGTTAATGATGGTTTACATCTGATTTTATCATCGAAATACTTGATCCACTCTTTATTTGCTGAAAATCAAAGTAATGTTGATTCATATTCATGGAAGGACAAAAATAACGTATATCTCAAATTATGCAAATTGTTTGATGAAATTAGTTACAAAACGTGTTCTGGCCAATGCTTGGATGTACTATCAGCAAATCCTAATAATCAATGTATTTTGAACGGAAAACAGAATAATTTGGAGTTTGATAGTTTTGCTCGAAACTACTCATCAGATGTCTTTGAAGCTATAACACACTGGAAGACGGGTTTTTATACTTTTTATCTACCTGTAGCGTGTGGAATGATTTTGGTAAGTTAACTTAATTATTTCCGTTTCATTTATTATCTTCTCTTATTTATTAAGGATTTTAAACTGCAAAATGTACATTTTTACTTCGTACATCAATTGTTAGACTGAATAACTTTCGTAATAAAAACATTTGTGTAATATACTTTATATAAAGATCAAAGTTTTTAAATTTTGTTTAAGTTCTAACAAAGTCATTGTTTGTAATCACCAATGTTATCTAGCCTTCATACTTATGAAAACTGAATGCGTTTAAGCCAATATAATTGATTTTAAGCCATATCACTTAAATTTCCCATTTATTCAATTCAACTTACCAACCACAGGTTTTTGTCCTTCGTTCCGAGTCCCATTCTACGTCTAAAGACTAGTAAAGCTGCCTAGCTGCTCGAACTGAAATAGATAGAGTGGCGTTCAAACCTGCAATCTAGCGGCTGAGAGTCAGAAGCTTTAACCACTGAACTACGCCTTTTTACGTTATTAGCATATAAGGACCTGTGATCCCATATCATAAATGGTCATTATATTACTGCTATTAACAAGTCCCATAACTTATTAGAACCTTCATAGTAGATTACCTACATACTGAGCAGCTGAGATCCTCATTCTTCTCAACAGAAGAAAGGATTTCAGTATTATTTCATAAATGCTGCCTTCAAAATTTTATATATTTTCATTCATTATTCAAGTTGAATAAACCGATTAAAAACGGTGGTTATACTTCTTGTCTTTCATCTTGTTTGTTAACATCAAAGAAGTAATAGCATTCTGTTTAATATACACTTTTCTTTGAAATTTTTTTGTTAAAAATAGGCTGAAGTTGATGATACAGATGATATTTTCAAAAATGTTCAATACATCCTCCTTAAATTGGGTAACTACTTTCAAGCCCAGGTAACTAAAATACTTTAAAGTCATTTCACAATAGGATGACTATTTAGATTGTTTTGGTGACAGTGAAATTACTGGAAAAGTTGGGACTGATATAGCAGAAGGCAAATGTACATGGCTAATTGTTGAAGCGTTAAAATACCTTTCACCTGAACAATATGAAATACTTAAAGTAAAAGGAATTTTCTTTCATTTTAAAATTATCTTATCGTCGAAATAAATTGAGTTTGTATTTTTTGGATTGTTATATCCCACCATTATCTCTTTTTTATTGTATGATCGTAGATATGTTTCTTATTGTGGATTACTTCATATATTATATGTTGGTTATACACCTTCAGCTACGTTTTATCACGAGGTATTAATCATCAAAGTATAAGACACCCGACTGTGTAATAATATAAAGTCGGTTATAAATATTGAATAAGATATCCCAAGCACCTTGTGACTATTGTTATTTTATAATATATTTATCAAGTCAACTACGGAATTGAGCTGCTGCTTATTAAGTTAACTTTTACGAAATTTACTTTTGAATGCCTTCAATCTACCATAACACCTATCCATCAAAAGAAAAATGGTGAACGTCTGGTTAATCAGTTAACATGTAGAAGTACGCTTGTAAAGATAAATGACGATGACAAATGGTTTGCTTTCATTTAAGCTTGAAGGTGTCACTTTACAAATCAACCCTAATGGGAAGTTGTTATTGAGTATGAATAGACTTCCAATAATTACTAACAGATTACTACTTACCATAATTTTACATTTATCGTTTTTCCACCGTATCACTACTTTGTGCTCATAATAGGGTTATTGATATTTTCGGTGTTTTGTCTTCCTGTTTTCAGTGTTATGTCTATACACAGCAGCTGCATATTTAATAAATCTCAATGAGTCTAAACTTGGGAAACTTGAGGTTAAGTGAAAGAATACGATGTCTTTATTCATTATTAACATTAATTAGTACTGGAAGTATTCACGTTTATTACCAAGTCATTGAACATCCAATGGTTTCTTCATAACTTTGTTTACGGTCGCCTTGTCAGAACGCGAGATGTGCCCTCATATTATATTTGAATTTGGTTCACTTTGACTCACCAAACTGGTCTTTCCTTGTGAATTTATGACAATTTATTTCCTAACTGTGTTTGCGTCTGTCTGTTACCCATATTCCTCACACCCGTTTCTAAAAGCAAATCCCTATGATCTATCGATAACTACAGTGATCATTATTTTGCGTATTGGTCCATGTCAGTACAAAACACTTACGTTTATCCTAAAATAGTCATAATTTTGTTGACATCGATATATGCATAATGAGATTGCGACTGCTATTCCCAAGACATATTCTATGAGTATGTGATATTTGGCCAATGTCTAGTTTTGTTCCAACTGTTTCTCTTATTCGTTCCTACTTTGATGGATAGCATTTTATTAGTTTCTTTTTTAAATTTACTTCTGAACTAGCTGATGCTTTATCAAAATCATATGAAATTATACTGCTTACCTACACTTAGTCCATCCAAAATTGTTGTGTACCGCTTGCAAGTTTTAATTAAAATTTTACGGTAACTGTCTTAGTTAGTCAAGTAACTTTATTTACGCCATTTTCAAAATTTTGGTCTTTCCTGTGATTCATGTGTCAGGTTGTATTTTGTAGCTTTTTACGTTCTTAAACACTTCCATTTCTTAGTTATTCCCGCACATGTCACACGGAATCTTCGTTTTGTCATACCCTAGTTCGAATACTTTTAATGTGTAGATAAAACTACAATCTTCAAACATTCAAATGAAGTCCTTTAGTAAATTTAAGGAACTATAATCGAAAATCTTTTTATGCTATGTGGTCTATTACTGAATATTGTAAATTTACCATATTTTATTCCATTCCTATGTTCTTTGTCAATATTCATGAACCAATATACTTCTAATTTAACCAATCACCTTATGTTATTGAATACCTGGATTGTATGTTTTCAGTCTTTCATGATGTTAATGCCTGTACATGAACAAAAAACAACTATCCATCACTAGTTTTTGAATGAAAATGATAAGAATCTAGTCATCACTCCGTTCATCTTGGTATTCGTATACTTTTATACTGGTACGAGTATTGGAAAAGTTGTAAATGTTGGAACCAGTTTTCCAATCATTACTTATATTTTTATTGTTGCATTTGTATATTCCCCTTATTGTGATCTCCCAGTAGACCTAGCAACTATTGTTTTGAATCCTCCCGTTTCTCAATTATTATCAATTAATTATGCATTATTAACCTTGCTCTCTGCCATTTGCGGCATGATTGTGCTTAAAATATAATCTCTTATTTTTTGTGCTGTATGGTCAGGCATTTCAAGTATATTATTGAGTTTTGAGTGATAATTGAATTGAGCACAATAGATAATAAATCTACTTTCTATACGCGTCTCCTAATTGGCTACTGGGTTAGATGGAGCTCGACGGTCAATAAGCATTGAGGTCTTGGGTGCTGTTCATTAGTCAATGTGTCTTGGTAATTATTAAGTCACCTGTCCTATTGGGAATATGGGTGAACTAATCTGTAATCGGAATTTTGATTGGGCAGTACAACACATATTATCGATTCATAATATATGCCACCAGTTATTCAGTTGTCAAGATTTAGTCAAATGCTTGGGTTTTGACGTATACAAGTAGTATTGTCAAATCATAGATGAAATGTTGGTGTTGTGTTGTGTGATGCGGCAAATAAGCAACGTTTATTATTGCTTAGACCATTATTTTTATTTTATTAAATTTACATGGCAGAACTGAATTTATTTTGTTTTACTGACTGTCAAAATTGTGTATTTAATCATCTTATATACATGTTTCTAACTGTAGACAAATTATGGTAAACCCGATCTTAAGTCGCAACAGACTGTTCGCAATCTCTATGGTGCGATCAAATTACCAGAGAAGTATTACTTGTACGAAGAACAAACTAAATCAGAGATTATGAATAACATTCAGAAGTTTATGTACCGTGATCACTTTTCTTTTGATCCTAGGGATTTGTTTACTTTTCTTGTCGAATTACTTTTTCAACGTGTTTGTTAAAGTGCCATGAAAATATTTCATATTTTTCCCATACTGTTTCGTCAATTTTCTTTAATTACGTCTTTTCTATCTCAGTTCTCTTCTTCCATTTCTTCTTAGTTCTACAATTCAGTCTTTACTTTTATCGTTATGACAATTTTATTTAAAGAATTCCCCTTCTTACATAATTATGGTGCATTTAAGTCTTCGTCAACATAATTTTGTCTAAAATATTTGTTTGTTTTCTTAAAATACTGACTTTAACAGCTTAGTATTATATATAATTATATTTCCGAATTTATTTATGTATTTGAACACGTAAATATTGCTACAAAAGGATACCGAATACATATGCGCCACACAATTCACTTGATTTGTATGTGGGTTGTGATACTGCCTGGGTACCCAGGTGGTATTTTAGGGTGCCACATCCGGAGCCTTTGACCTAAAGGTTTGATCCACAAGGCAGTGGATCAACGTTAGGAGATGCCATCCCATGGTAGCCAGTGACCAACAATAGGTTCATATGCCACTTGTTCCTTCAGGATCCTGGAGCCCATGTGCACTATTGGTTTGGGATCAAGGTTTTCCAACTCCCCTAAGTGGATCATCCGTAATCATCAACATGGTTAAAGTGCCGGACATTCGCTTTTCGTCCCCTCAATTTCATAGGACTTCCCTGGAAGAGACTATGCACATATACATGTGTGAGTAATTCGAGAGATAGAGCAGATTCTCCCCACCCTCGGCCGTACCATGGCATTTGGGAGCTCCGAATGAATTAAAACAGCATATTGCTTTTCATAAAGGAAAATCTGATTACACACTAATCATTGTAAGTAATTTAATTTCTTATTTTATATTCGTTTATGCGTAATAATTATCAGTCTCCAAAATATTTAACTAAACTACTAGAGTGACATAAAATATTTGTATTACGAATTCATATCGCATACAGATTATACTGCGTAGTAGAATTCTTGATTATTATTATACTCCTAATACTAAGCGCACACACTTTTTCACGTAATTTTGTTAGTAAACTGATTACTTATAGATGACTAAGTGTGTCTTGATAGCTATACTATGCAGTTAGCAATACTCCTAAGTTTGCAATTTTAGATGTCAGATGAATGGACTAAGTCCATTTTCATTTTGTTAATTGCTTGGAGGTGGATTACGTACGTTTGTAGTCACAACTTAGTCGGATATCTTATCAATTTTATTTTTATAAGTTTATAAACAGCAACTTCAACATTAAATCTTTAGATCCCAGTAGCAGCTTTAGGAATAATTAAAAGTTATAAATACAACAATATTCCAATGGACGCATTCGTCTCGTGAGTACCACGTCTCATGCACTATTATTATGACCTTACCGTCAATATTTCAAACCGGTCTTGAGTACACAAACAAATATTACTCAAAAAATTACAATGGTTCCATGCCATCACATACCATAATTAAAATGACATAACTACCGTAATATATCAAACGAATTATCAATTAATGTTGAGACAATTCATGCACCGAGAACTGTGTCGAGTATGCAGGTGACAAACCCCTATATGTATAACATTTTGCCTACCGTTATTACATTTCGTCTTGACAACAGATTTAAAATTAGGCTGTGATTTGAGAAGAAAATATTGGTGAAAATAGAATACAGTGTAGCTTTTATGAATAGTCTGGATCGTAGATTTGGAAGTGTGACAACACTTACATATGATTAACAAGGTAGCTGAAACATTAAGTGGATGAAATAACTAATTCTTAAAGGTATTTATTGAAAAGCACATTAATCTGAACACTCAGGATTGATAGTCTGCGTAATATCTAGTGATGTGACGGAAGGAAGGTATTGTTTACGACTAATTCTGCCTATTACGAGATGGCTAGTACAAATGCTGAAATAATCGAGGGCCGCGTTCGTTGAACCAACCAGTGTCTCTGTAAAATATCAAGATAATTCATTAAGTACATGATTTACATATCTATTTCTGCATGCTCCATTTTTCTCCCAATTCCGTTGTTATTTTTACCAAGTTCTGTTTCTGTTCCTCCTTTCTTTGATCGAATCCCTTGCTGGTTAGCATTTGAGTTCCTACTACATACTACTTGTATCTATACGCATAAGTAGCGCATACCACTCTGGTAGTTACGACCAGTTTCATAGCATCCCTAAGTGTGTTTTTTACTCAAAGTAGACTTACTAGGGACATTATGTTTTGTGTACAATCAAAACCTGCTGAAAAAATCAGAGGAAATAGAACTCCGATTTCTTTATTTGAAGAACTGATCCTCAGATGAATCTGCATTTTCAGTTCGGTAGAAATTTTCACAGACAAATAGATGGTGTTGCTATGTGATCACGAAAACGAATCGTTCGTTTGGTAAGTGATGTTCCAAAGTACCTTAGTCTCGCACGCAAACGCCTAACCTCTAGACCACTCAGCTAGCATCCAGCGGTGTGAATGTCTAACTTCAATCGCCCCATGATCTTGCGCAACTATTCATCTATCGTCTGAAATAGATACCTGTCTCTACCCGACACAGATCGGAATTCACTGGTCGCGGCTTCTAATTAGAACTCCAAGAAATCAGCTTGAAGTCACACACTAGTAAACACATGATGACAGTTATCGGAATTAGAGTCTTGTGGAGACTGTAATAATCTTAATAGTAGAGTTTCAGATACACTAATTGTAAGAACGTTGCACTTGTATTGCCAATACTTGAATTCACAATCAACCAGACCCTCCTTATTCACTGCTTATGATGTCTAATTATGTGATGATTTCCACCTCTTCGTGAGCTCCACCAACCAAAATGTAATACTTGCCAAAAATAATAATAGGAAAAATAACGGGCTCACCTGTTAAGTTGAAATGTATATTTAACGTGGAGATTATATGCACAAATCACATTTGAAATAAAATATTTTCTTGATATGATGATGTTTTCGTTTCTCCTACATGAGACCTGTCTTTTTGGTGCTGAGTGAATTCACTCATTCTCCTCAGTCATGTGAAAAGTAGATGTGGAAAGTGACAGGTGGACTAGGTATTAAAATTAACTACATAAACGGCTAGTCCCAGATCGCCTATCGACAGAAGTAAATCTCTCACCCTATATCATTTTGGATACTTTTTTTCTACCCGTAGTCTCTGTATGGGAAGAAGCACAATGACAAGTCGATCTACGTTCCGTCAGGCAGTCACTACGACAACAAAGACGAACAGTCAACATGTATTTAGACCCAAAGAACGTACGCTATTAAAAAGGGAGGTGTTGGGGATAAGAAATCCTTAGAACTGACTCGGTAAACGTCTTAATTTTGTAACTTCATTTCGGAAATTTTAATTTCATATTTTCGCGCCAAAAGAATCTTCGACTTAGCTAGTGGTCTTGGCAGGCAAAGCGTGTGGAACTAGCTATAATAATAATAATAATATATTTATTCTCAAATAACAGTTTGTTACATGAGGCATGCCAGTTTACAGGCAAGATCAAATTGATACAAATGATACAATATACACTGTATTAAATTACATAGCTGGGTTGAAAATTTTTAAGACATGAATGTAGATTGTTTTAATCAGTACTACAGTTGGCGCGCTTCACGAGAGTTGCGTTGCGAATGTGCGACTGATGGTCAAGAATAGGTCCATTGAAGGTATGAGCTTCTAGAAATCGCAACCTTATGTCCCTTTGGGATATCCAAGGCTTTAAGGATGGTGCAGGATGAAGTAACCTGTTCCATATCTCAAGGGGGCTGAAAGAGGGAGCAAGTAAAAGAAAACACGAGAGGCAGAGTAGCCAATATTCATGTAGGAATGTTTAAGGTATGATTACTCAGTCTAATTTTCTTTTATTAAGGTATTTGTTAAGAAAGAGCACTTTAATAGGTTAAAGAAAATAAGCTTTAGCAAGGTGTGAGTGGACATACAACTGACAAATGGAGACGATTCGGAAAAGAGCTGAGAGTATAAGATTATGTGTGATTATAAAATAAAATATAGTGCTAGAAACAGTATTGTGATATACAACTGGCTATCTTCCTTTTATTATCGAAGCTATTAGAGCCCCTTTCGTTTTTTTTATTTGTTTTTTTTTCAGGTTTTATAGGGTCTTGAGTGGGCTTCGTATATTAGCGAATTGTCTAGTTTGCTTGTAATAGGATTACTGGGTAGGAAGTGAAACCAATTCAACCTTCGTAACACGATTTAAAGAGGTATTTTGCGTGATAAATCAGCTTCAATACCATAAGTCCGTGACATCCCACTAAACCATAAGGAGCCGTAATTAAACAAAATGTTCTGCTCTACAGACATGGGTGGATTGAAGTTATCTCCCCACTTTCATGTTTGCTGGTCAGTAACGCCACCCTCCCTCCTTTTGTGATGTTAGGCTCTCTTACGTTTGTGGTAAGTATGATTAATGCTTTAATCAAAGCACATAGTTGGAATACACTGTCTCTACTAGGTCCATGTTACAAGCAAATCAGATATTTAAAAATTCTGTTTTATGGGTTAGATGTCCATATAGTATATCACACTGCTATGAAAATAACTAATGGTTTAAAGAAGTAAGGATTAATAGTAAATCAAAAGATATGAGAGGGTATAAAATTGTAGAAAAAAAAAGATTTTAGGGTGAGAAAAATAAAACATTGAGAAACTCACAAGACTTTGTGGCCAAATTTTGAGCTTTGAATGATCAGCCTTAGTAGATCAGCATCCATAAGATTGAGCTATCTGTCTACTTGCAGTAGAAAAAAAAGCATGACTTTTAGGAAGAATAATGTACATTTAACCTGTAGAGATTTGGGGACTGAAAGCTAGGGTTAGGGGCATGAAATCATGATTAATAAACAATGAATAATAGGAAAGGATAAGCCATATATCCTGTGATTTGGTTATATTCAGATTAGTAACAGTCGAACTTGTTATAATTTTGTTCTTTCTAGATACTAGCCGGTCCCTAATAAAGTGCCTCATCGGTGGGCGGGAGTTCAAGGTAATGTTGAAGCTCTTTGGAGTCTAGAA